GGAATTTCCTCCAACTAATAAAACTGGATAGAAAAGCAGTTCCATGGCTCATCTGAGTGACTTCACCATAAACTCACCTGTCCTTCCTGACTGCACCCCGGTTTAAAATCACAGGGTCTGTACTTTGAGAGGAGAATGCCATTTTCTCACTTATCTGGTCTCCACAGGAAGGGATTTTTGCTAGCACCTTCTTTACTGTCTGGATTGTGAACTATGTGATAAATCAGAACATAAAGTGTGCAGACAGTGAACCAAAATGTCAGCTTTATTATTGATGAAGTGCAGGTTGGAGGATGCGAGTTAATGTGAGTGCCAAAATAGGTTTACTAGCTCAGTCCTAAACTCCCTCCCTACCTATCTTATCCTTGGAATAAGCAGGTTCACTAGCTGTCACTGGTCCAGGTGGAGAGGGGAGGAGAAAGAGATCACAGCTCTTGCACTCAAGACCTTGCTAAATTATTTCCACTCTATTGGAGTCCTGGCTTCTTATCCATGCTTTAGTCTAGCCCTTGGAGGTAAAGTGAGTTACCTGGTAGACAGACAATAGCCATTAGTCCAAGTTTCCCAATAGGGTGGAGTAGAAGGATGCAAAGAATCCATGTGCTTGATGACATCATTATGCTACTAAACCAATTCTGGAAGCACCTACCTCCAGACTTCTTTTTCATGTGATGATTAAATGTCATCATTGTTTAAACCACTTTCAGTGAGGTAGTCTGCTACTTGCAGTTAAATGTATTTTGTTACAAGCAGCAGTTGCAAATACTATCTGTCACTAGACCCCATTATAACATCTTTCAGCAGCTTACCCTTTCTTTGCATAGGTGACTATACACACACACACACACACACACACACACACAAATAAAAATATATGTCAGTATATACTTTCTTAATTATACATATAATTAAGTATGCATAGGAAAAGAGAAAAAACAGCAGATGAGTACAGCAAAATGTTAAGGTGTGGCCGGGCGCGGTGGCCTACACCTGTAATCCTAGCACTCTAGGAGGCTGAGGTGGGTGGATTGCTTGAGCTCAGGCATTTGAGACCAGCCTGAGCAAGAGTGAGACTCCCGTCCCTACTAAAAATAGAAAAAAAATATTATCCGGGCAACTAAAAATAGAAAAAATTAAACAGGTGTGGTGGTGTGCACCTGGAGTCCCAGCTACTCGGGAGGCTGAGGCAGAAGGATTGCTTGAGCCCAGGAGTTTGAGGTTGCTGTGAGCTAGCTTGACGCCAAGGCACTCTGGCCTGGGCAAGAGAGTGAGACTCTGTCTCAAAAAAAAAAAAAAAAAAAAGTTAAGTGTGATAATCTTTGGAAAGTGTAACTATGGATGATATAATTTATTTTATGTATTTTCTGTATTTTACAAATTTCCTATGAAAACAGACATTAACCTTCTGATAGAAAAAAATAAACTTTTTTAAAAAATAAAACTTTCACAGGGGCAAATTTTTGTAGTACTGGGGAATCAGCCAAGCTGACATTTCATAGAGCTTTCACTGAGCTAAAAGCAGAGTATCTGTCACAGCTTCAGATACAAAGGATGCTTCATGCTTTTCTACTTCCTGAGAATAGAAAAATGGTAAATGGGCTTAATTTATATCAGGAAAGATTAAAAATTTAAGCACTTTCTATCTAATAAAAATAGCAAGGAGTGGCCTGGATATTTCTAGCATTTTCTTCAGGTCTATCTTCCTGTGAACTGACCAAGAGGGGTAAAGACATTTCTATAGTTATTTCCCCCAGCATTCTAGCAAAATCACATGGCTTTTAATTAGCAATGTTTAAGGCTTTTACAAATTAAAAAATATGCAGCTTTTCTATGAAAGGTCGTGAGAAATAATTGCACATCTTGAGTAATTTTATCTTGAATTTAAAGTAGTAATTAGGACTGAAACTTCCTATTGTTGCTTTCTTCGATGTGAACAGAGCTTGGATGTGACAGGTGTATAAATCACCCTCAAATGACAGCCCCAACAGCATGTGATTTATACATCTAGCTCATAACCCCATGTTATTACTCCGGAATATCCCTTGGTAAGATAGGAATTGGGAGCTGGGATTTAGTCTTAGGTCTACTTCATTAAGAGAAAAATAAACATGCAAGAGAAAGGACCAAATCTTTTTTCTTTTAAAATTACCATCTTCAACTATAAACATGTATTAAAATTATAGTATATTTCAGAAACTGGTTACAAAACAGATAAAAGATAGTATTTTTCTCCCACCCAAAAAAATCAGAGAAATGAGAAATAAACCCAAAACAAACAAACAAACAAACAAAAACCTTTCCTATGTGGTTTTGAAGACAAGACACAAACATTCAGAAAAAGATAATACAAGAAGGGGATATACGGTAAGAACAGAGTAGAAGCAGAGCTTTTAGCGGGGGCAGGGAGCTCTAATGAGGCATAGAAAGTAAATGAGCCTCCCTGGAGTGGAAGATGGAGGCTGGACAAGCAATGAAAAGCTAGGACACCCCAGGACGGTGTGTCAATGCCCCAAGGCTCAGACACAGAGCATGGGCCATGTTTCGAAGGCAGAGTATACACCAACTGGGCAATAGCAAAGGATGCAAGTTGGGGAGAGAGAGATTTGGGGAATTAGGGAATGGTCATATCGTAGATGGAATTCCACATCTGATTTAAAAGTCCCAATTTTATCCTACAGTACAGAACTTTCAACTGCACACTCTGGAGTCAAAGGTTTGAATCTCATTTGATCCATCATGTGGCCTTAGGCATGTTAGTTATTTTTCTTTCTTTCCTTCTTCTCTTCCATTTCTCCTTCCTTTTTTTTTCTTTCTTTCTTTCTTTCTTTGAAAAAAACACTTTACTTTTTAACTTTTCATTATGAGAAATTTTAAAAGATATACCACAGAAACAGAGAGAACTGTGCGATGCATCTCCACATACCTACCGCCCCATTCAACAACCATCGATATCCAATCTCTTGTTTCATCTACGCTCTTTCTACTCCCTTCCCACCATTGTCCTCGCCTATTGCATTAAGCCTGATATGATTAAGCATCTGGGCAAAGCCTGCGTGTGGCACGTGGAGGCCGCGCTGGTGGGAGGAGCTAGGAAAGGATGCCTGGAGAGGGCCTGTGTGTAAGGAGTACCGAGAGCACTGTCGCCTGTAGAGAATGGGGCTCCAACCTGGTCTCGTGCTTTAAAGGGCCTGTTTCCGCCCTCCTCTGGCCACCATTCCCACAGGGAAAGGCGTCCCATGAAAGGTGATCCCCTAGATCCTGTGCCTCCCTCCACAGGAATTCCCCGCCCCGACAGCTCGAGGCCACTTTCAGGGCATGCTCTGGCCCCTGTTTGTGTGCCACTAGATCCCAGAGGCAGGCAAGGTGGCTGGCTGAGAGAAGGATGTGGGCAGAGCTTGGACATGTGGGCTGAGTCACACACATGCAGGAGGCCCCTGAGATATTGAAAGCGAGAGTGGGGGGAAGAAAGGGGAGCAGAAAGGGCCCCCCTGTTCCTGCAGAACAGGGCTGCATCTGGAGCTCCACTCTTGCCCAAAACCCACGAACATTAAGGACAGGCCTCGATAGTAAGGGACATCTACAATTTTCCTTAATATTCTTAAATCTAAATTTACGCCACTCATGTCCTCTGTCAAGTCAGCTTACAGAACTGCTGAAGCACCAGATGAGCATTGTCTGAATCCTGAGACAGAACAAAGGTCACACAGGAAACAGCGAAGTCAGCCAATACAGTTGTTATCAGAAGAACAAGGTTACTGTGCATCACGAGTTCAAAACAGACCAAAATTCCATCAGTGAGCAGATCTTCTAAAGGACTTTATCAGAGGATTAAAGTGGGCCCCTTGCTCCTTCCCCAGTTACACTCCATCCTTGCACCCAGATCCTCCTGAAAAACAAAAATACCCTCAGTATAGAAAACTTTCCCCCTAATTCTGAGAAACAAGGAAACTTGTTTGACTTGGGAACTCTCCCTATAGTGTTTAAAACAAAGACCACCCTTGTAAAAAACAGAATTTGTCTTTATTCACGTAAGTCATTTTGGGAGAAGGGAAGTGTTGTTAGAGATAATACCTATTACATCCAAGCATTTAGCCATTAAAATGCATGGGGATAAACTTTCTGGTCCACGTAAAAAAAAAAAAAAAAAAGAAAGAAAGAAAGAAAGAAAATGCCTGAGGAAGGGAGGTGGGTGCTATGTGCCTTAGTAGGCGTATACCTAAAGAAAAAAAAAAAGAGTAGAAAAGACAAAGTAGGGCAGCCCACGATAGCAATTAGGATTTTTTTATTCCTGAGAGGATAATATGTGGTTTCATTTAAGTAAAAACACAATCTCCATCAGCTTAATTTGTAAAAGCAATAACTCCAGCACTCACAGCTAGTGCCCTAGTAAAGCAATTTTAGACACATCATTGCTACTTCGAAATTAAAAGTGAATCAGTCCTATGGAGTTAATTACCAGTAAATTAATCTAAAGCGGGCCTCCCACGTGGCATGGAGCCAGCATAAGATGGTTCTCAGTGCTAGCCAGAAACATTGCAAGATACCAGGTATATACTTGAAATGCTAAGTTTATATTAAACAATGGCAAATATCTATATGAACAGCGGGAGAAATCATTTGCAGCATCCACAGTGAAAAACAAGGACAAAGGCCTGAATTAGAAGAGCTTTTTGATAGAGATTTATAAAAGTGTCCCCCAACTGCCTCTCCCAACAAAAAAGGAAAATCCTCAGCTCTCTCGTTGTTGCAGCCTATTCCCCAAAGCTTACAGAAAGGAAATGATACCTATTTCTTTTTAATCCTTGTATATGGAACTTATTTAATTAGGTCAAGTAGAAGTAACTTTAGAAACCAAAAATAAAATTAGATAAAGCCAGCACAAGAAACTACTTTCATCACTAGTGCTTTGGACTAGGACAGCCTCTGCTACAGTGTTCTCAAGGAGGTATGCAAGAAAACCAGAGACAAAAGAAGAAAAAAAAACACAGAAGAATAGTTATTGAACTTTAATTAAATATTTGAATCAAAGAAAATGGGAAAAGATGAAACTTTAGTAAGAGAGAAATGGTACATGCACAAAGAGGATAGATTAATAAAATGGCTGCTGATCTATTATTGGTGATGAACATATTTGTTCTGTTTTGTTTTACTAAAAACAAGTCAAAATTTCCTGCAGTTCCCATAATTATTCAAATGCACAAGCGTTCCTAATATCCTGGCTTAAACTGTCCAGGAGGGCAACAAAGCAAACTGGTTTTATTCCTGAATTATGCAGTTAATTATGGCTGTTTGGGCCCAGATTTGATGTAGTTAGCAGTCAGAATGCTGACATATGATTGTTAAAATCACTTTCGTCCCATTTTATTTTTATAAGGTGATTTTACACAATATTGAATTTCAGATATTTCTAGATAAATTTAGTAAACCGAAGATGAAAATGACAAACCTCAAATAATACATTGAGAACAGATTCCCATTTGAACCGTTCATTATATATAACTGAGTTTATTATACTCCTTCAACAGACACAATATTAATGTAAATGTCATGGTAATATATATGAACTACACAAAAACAGTGTTGCTTTCTAATGTGTGGCTTGTTTAAACCCTAAAAGAGCACAGCTGGCTTTGCAGATCCATCTTGACTGTGATCCCATTTGCAAGATAAAGTCCCAACTGGGAGTTTTCTCATAAATTGGGCCAAGACAAGAACTCTACATACCCAGAGGTGTCTCCGTGTCTCTTTTCAAATAATTGAAGGCCATTTCTTCTGGTGTCTGGAGGAAGTAAAATGTCCTTGTCTGATGGGTATTGCTTTAGCATACCACATGCCCAATAAATTCTAGCATCGAGGAGCATGCAATAGCAGCTAATATTAGCTATACAGTCATGGTATTACTAGTGTTTAATTATATCATGTGCATTGAGATATTTTAAATGTTAAAGAGAAAACAGAAGGACTTATTCTCCTTAGCAACCATTATAGTACAGAATGTTCAAAGCTGCAATCACACTCATAAGGCAAATAAACTGGTTACGAAATGAGGGTAGCAACAAGTGTGCATGCTATAGAGAATGTGAAACTGGCACCTAAAATAGATAACTTCCTTATTTACTTTCAAAATTCAAGTGCTGGCTCAGATCATCAATTATCTAACTGCAAATGTTTCATGTTAACACTCAATGCCAATTCCCCATCTTATGAGTGCAATAAAGGGAGTGTAAAATGATTTTTTTCTCTCACTGGCTAAGATTCTATCGCATTCGAGAATGACTTTATAAAAACCCTTTTAAGAATAAAGGGCTTAAGGTCTTAATGGAAACTCATACTGGTGTGCACTTCTGTAGCTTCACTCCTCCAGGTTAACAAAAGACTAAATTGTAACATAAGCATCATCAAGGACAGGTTACTTTCTAAAATACCTCCTATATATTATTTCCTTCCTCAATACTATTTCCTTTGGCTCATGCACACTCAAGGCGCTTCATATATAAGACAACGAAGGTAGGAAGGGTTATATGCTAAAAGCTCTTTGAAAGCTCTTTTTCAAAAACAAACTGTGTTGAAATAAATTAACCGGTTATTTTAAAACGTCAGTTTGCAAGTTCTTGAAGTCTCTGGTGTTTTGACTTTAGGATTTCTCTAAAACACAGAAACAAAGGGTACAAATCAGGTGGCCGTCCCAAATGACTTCGGGGACCCCATTTATGGAGAGGCCTCGGTTCAGGCACACCACTGGGGTCGAAGGCAAAATCTTTGCCCCGGTTTTTTGGCTTTGCGGCGGGAGTCTTCGTTCGGGCAGGGGATAACTTAGGAGGCAAGGAGGAGATGGTGACCAAAGACGTTGGAAGCCGGGCCCTGGCGGGGTCACCAGTGCTGGCCGGCGGCGCGGGTGCCCAGCTGCGCCTGAGACACGGCGGGCACAGCCGTGGCCGCGACGGCGGCGGCCGCCGCGTCGCCGACGCCGGGCAGGACGGAGCGCACGGAGCGGCGGAACTCCTCGTTCCTCCACGTGTAGAGCAGCGGGTTGAGCGCGCACAGGGCGCAGCACAGCAGCCAGCTGGCCGCCTGCACGCCCCAGGGCACGGGCAGCGAGAAGCCGCTAGCCAGGCTCACCCACACCAGCGGCTGCGTGGCCAGCAGGAAGACGCAGCAGAGCAGCAGCACCGACAGCCCGCTGAGACGCCGCTGCGCCCGCCGCGGGTGCAGCGCGGGCGGCAGGGGCTGGGCCTGCGCGGGGTGCGCGGCGCCGCCGGGGCCCGACGCGTGCGGGGCGCCCGGGAAGGCGGCGGCGGCGGCGGCGCAGCCCGGCAGCTGGTGCAGCAGGTGGAAGTTGAGCACGCTGACCCGCTTGACGCTGACGCGCACGCGGCGCACGATGCCCAGGTAGCAGTGCAGCAGCAGCGCCGTCTGCGCCAGCAGCGCCGCGGCGGCCAGCAGTGCCGGGTAGTGCACGCGCGGCGGCGCAGCCCCGGGCCGCGGCGCCCAGGGCGGCAGCAGCAGCACGAGGCCCAGGGCGAGCGCCCAGGACAGCGCCAGCATGCCCGCTGTGTGGCGCCGCTGGTACAGAGCCTGGTAGGTGGCGGGCGCCCGGGTGATGAGCAGGTAGCGGTTCAGGGCCACGAGGCAGTGGGACAAGAGGGACACCGTGAGCCCGAGGCCCAGCAGCCCGCCCCGCAGCAGGCGGTAGCTGCCCCCGGCGCCGTCCCACTCCCCGGGGGGCTCCGCAGAGCCGGCGGGCAGGAGCCCGAGCACCGCCTCCTGCGGCATCCAGAGGGCGCAGACGCTGAGGTCGGCGGCGCAGCCGTTCACGATGAAGGCGTTGCTGGTGGTCTGCAGCTTTCGGAAGGAGGATACGAGATAGATGACCATGCCGTTGGCCAGAGTACCGCCGATGGCCAGGCCCGAGTACAGGAGGGACACAGGGATGCGCCGGCCCGCCCACGACTCCTCTTCCTCGCAGAGCAGCAGCAGCGATCCCCCGGTGGTGGAGGAGGTGGACGTGGAGGAGGAGTTGGTCATTCTGGCCAACTCTTCACACCTCGCTCGCTAGCGTCGCCTTCTCGCAGCGCGGCCCATCCTGACACTTGCCTGCCTGCCTGCAGGAAGGGCAAAGACGTCCCTTTAGCCCTCTGCCGCCAACACAAAAGGCTGAAGCAGGATAATGGGCTGGGGGAGGGGGAGAAAGGGAGCTCGAGGAGAACGGGGGTGGCGGATGACAGGTGCCTGCCTCGGAAATGTCTCCAGATCGAGGGAAAAGGCCTCTTTGCATTGCATTTGGCAGGCATGGGGAAGCCCTGGGACAGAGAAATATCAAGAACAGTCTCCTCTTCTCCCCCAACACACACACACACACACACACACACACACACACACACACACACACACACACACACACAG